TTAAGGGAGAGACAGAAAAATTATAAAGCTTTAAGGAAGGACATTTAAAGTCGCACTGCAACTTTTTGGACATTTTCATAGATTTTTTAAAAATTTATTGAAAAAATTAATCTGCCATTAAGAACAGGGTGTGGCACCTAAATCTAGTATGAAGATTAAGAAGAAAAAACTGAACAAGTTGCTATTGCTTGGTCAGAAGAGTCTTGAAGCAAGAGTTTAACAGGTACAGTGCCTCCTGCCTGTTGCTTCATGAGTCACCAACAGAAATCCTTTGAACTGGAATCACCAACCCATGGACTGGAGGCAGGGATATCTGAGTTCATCTTAACAAGGTTTAATAAAGACATATCAGAGCAGCAAAACAAACAACAACAAACTTTGCAGAACCTAGCCATTTCCCACCACCCAACTGTGAAAAAAGCAAGTCAAATGCTTTGTTACTATCAGTCATGATTGCTTTGTTTTTCCAATGCTAGAATTCTTCAAGGTCAACTCAGGAGGGGGAAAAATGGCAAATGTGTTTGCACAAGTGACTTACTCTTTTTTCATCTAGTAACATAAAAACATGGAGACTTTTCAATAAAGAAACCAAATTCAGCCACACACTTCTAGAAAACGAAGCAGAACTGGCTTCTCAGAAGATAGAAACCATTAGAAACATTCTCTTTTCTACCAGGTTCTTTCTACTAAACTGTAAAGTACCCCTCTGACTGCAACCAGGAAAAAAAAAGACCAGGTTTGCCTCAAGGTGTGGGGAGAAAGGTCTTTTGATCTAGGGGGCAAAGGAGGATTTAAAGTCAAGACAATGGACAGCCCTTTGTACCCAGCTGTCTTTCACTGCTATGTCCTTCCCAACATCTGCAGGCATGGTCTTCATCCACAAAAATTCACTCACACAGTATTACAGAGGCTAAAAACCAACCAACAAAAATAAGAAAAGAAACAGGGCTTAATGGGAGGGAGGCTGCAATGTTTTCTTTAAACCAGAAAAAGCTCTCTCTCTCTCTCTCTCTCTCTCTCTCTCTCACACACACACACACACACACACACACACACACACACACACAGAGGGCATGATGACTGCCTTCCCCACCCTCCTGCAACACACACATACGTATCACCCATTATTCACCACCTTTCAGTTTTACATGAATACAATGCCTTCAACCCAGAAGTGCATGGGGCCGATAACATTCCTATAATGTCTGATCAAAAACACAAAGACACTAGGGAGACAGTATCAGGAAGGACAGCCCTTGAGGACAGGCCTAGAGACATGCTGGCTCAATCCTGCCTGTGACATCTCTCGCATATCCTTCTTTATATTGCAGTGCCCTCCAGCTTGGACATGAATCTGGCCTTTGTGAGGGGGGAATGGTGTAGGTGCCCGCATGCATGTTATACTCTCCATTGTCACAGACTGCATGCTCCCCAGAGCATACCTTGCTCATCCACTGCTCTCCAGAGTAACCTTTATTCCAGTGTGTTGCAAGCTTGTATTTCACGGATGGTTAAACTGAATCATTATCACCAGCCATTTGTTTGACCAAAAAACATTATGATCATCCCAAATCCAATCCTCTACAAAACAAAAGAACACATACACACATGAACTCCTTCTCTTCTCTCATCTACTTCATTACTCACCCTCAGTTTTGACATACGAATTGTATGATATACAGCATCAACATATCACAATGGGGGTAGAGAGCAAAAAGAATAGGTGGCAAAATGGACGGATGTGCATTTAGCATTTGCCGTGTTTCCTATCCCTGACCGACGCCTATGAGCCCTCCTCCAATCTAATGTGTCTGTGTATGTCTCTGTGTGTACACATACGCATGCACACACATGCATGTTTGTGTGTGTTTATACACATATAGAAATAATATGAAATTAAACCATGGCCTATCATGGAACTGTCTATATGAACCGTGTTCACTGACTCATTGTAAGCCTACATATGTGGGACGTGAAGTAAAGGTCATCGTGCTTCTGTTGTAATACACATACACACACATGCACACACCCAAAAAAAAAAGCCGCAGAGCCATCAAGAGGTGATACAGAATTTTCTCGTCAAGAGCCCAAAAGACTATAGGGAGGGGGGAGCCAAGAGGAGGAGAAAGCGTGTGCAGAGAGATAGACGGGATGGAATAACAGAGTGAGGAAGGGGTTATAAAGAACATAAAGCAGTACGCCTTTAATCCAGAATTCGATAACCTTTCCCAGTCCCCACCACCACACACGCTCAAACACAATGTATCCTACCTTCTTCCCTCTCCAGCATCCCCTACCCAGCATTAGTGCAGATGGATTTCTGTATCTGGATTTTGCAGCAATGGGTCTAATGACTTGCAGATCAAGCCCCCTTGATAAAGACGCCCCCTCCCATCATGATGTTCTAAAGCTCTGGCCTAAAGAATAATGTGGTTTTTAGAGATAATGGCAGCAATTTAAAAATAAAACACAAAAACATGTCAAAGATATTGTTCAAACAAGAAGCTGTCCGCATCACCTGAATCTCCCACTGCACGCACCATGGTTTTCTGTTTCACTCCCATTTTTCCTACCCTTTCCCACCTACCAGGAACAATCATAAATAAATGTACGACATTTAAAACACACACACACACACACACATAACTCCATGAATAGCCAATCTCAAAATCCTGAGCACTAATCCGCTTGAATTTGTTCATGCCCTTATATAAGCAGAAGCACGCCAACATGTTCAGTGGAAACGCAGTATAAAATCAGGCCAGGATAGAGCCATGGAGAACAGTGATATCATCGGATATCAGCTCTGTTTAGAAGCCATCATCAACAGGGATGATGAAACCAAACATTACGGACTAAATTTTTAATTTATTTATTTACTGACATACCATTGTTTCCCTATTCTCCCCCCCTTTTAAAAAAAAAATATATAAAAGATGACAAGAAATACACTCTGTCCCTCCTCAAAACATAGTCCACCAGGCGATCTTTGAATGATCCAGAAAGATAAATCCACATCGACCAGATTCCGTTCACATTTCATAGAACCAAATAATAAGCTTAATGCCAGTACAATCTAGCTTTTGGTGTTCTGAGGTAAAATATCCAGCTGTCCCCCACCCCCATTCCCCAAAGCTTTGGAACTGCATAAGGGAAAAATAAGAGACTGAAGGAAAATTCCATCATTGCCCATAATAATGGTGCACAAAAGCATATACAGGAAGAAAGGCAGCAATCTAAGATGGTAACCACTACCTTTTGCAAAAAAGAAAAGAAAAAAGGAAGGAAGGAAAATAGCATGTCTTACCAGGTTTTAGATAAATATGCTGAACTTAATATAACGGACCACTATAAGAAAATAAGAGCTACAGCAAGGATCTTAGCATCTTATGGTATATTTAATGGCCGATTCTCTATGGCGAGCATACAGCTGCCGTTGGTTTCTTCTTTTCTCCACCCAGATAACATCCTTCTCTCACACACTCTTGACTTTTCGCTAGACTAGTTAGGAGTTCACCCCCGCAAAAACCAGTGCCCAAAATATACCATGTACAAGTGCCAGGAAGCGGTCATTAAAAATGTTTGCTCTCTAGAGGTCTGAGCACTCAGTGTACGGAAAAGTGTAGATATGAACCAAGGAAAAATTACAATAAATTGGTTTTTGAAACAGAACATCTATTTTCCACAAAATTCTAAATACCGAGGGCAATGAAGAAAATGAAGAAAGAGTTGGTTATGAAACACTGGCATTTTGAAATTGTGTTTTCGGTCAGTTTCACAGCCTCCTTTTTTCTTTTGTTTTCAGGATTTCTATTACCTGCCTCTTTTTTGTTTATTTTATTCATAAACAAAATCGTGAAAAATAACATCGAGAAGCAAACGCCTTATCTTTAAAAAGAAGGTAAATATTTTCAGAAGATTTGTGTTACTTTTTTGTCCTCGTTGGGGAAAGAAGTCAAAATAAAATCTAAAAGTAAACAAAAGACCACGTCACTTCTACAGCAGTAGAGTCAAAACCTTAGGAAAAAGGATTACATCACCGTCCTTCATGGAGTAAAATTAGGGAAGAACTATAGATTTGGGCTGGAAACAAGGAGGAAAAAAACTGGGCATTTCGCACAGATATTTTGCATGAAGAAATTGTAAAACCAACCTTTAAGGTCATTCGTTGACTGGATGCTCATAGCCGTTGCTTATAGTGGAAGTTTTCAGGCAAGGTTGGATACTAAATCATTAATATAAACAAATGGAAGGCGGGGAAGGAAGGTTCTTGTAATAGATCCAAAGTAGTAAGGGGAGGGGGAAGCTGTCTTATGTTCCTATCTTTTATTTTCTAATTATTTGAAGAAGAAGAAAATACTCCCAAAGAAGAAGAAAAAACAAAAAAAATTAAATTATTCTGAATTTTGCCTTCCAAAATAGATCCTTTTCACAATTTAAATGAACACTGCCTCTTTGCTAAATATCTTTTAAAGTCACATAAAATGGTTATTGAAACGAATGCAAGTTCATGCCTTCATCAGGGCTTGGAGTTTGTCCCCTTAAATGAAGTATTTTGGATGAGCTGTGAAATTTCCACTCCCACGACCCACCCACAAAATCGAATAATCTTTCCTATTTTTTAGTGATTATGAGAAGAGGAAACCAAGTGGGAGAGACAGAAGAAGAATTCACAAAACGTTGTCATAATAAAGCTCTCTGACATGTTGGTCCCCCCAGGTTATTTATGTATTTTCCTTCTTGTAAAAAGAAGAAGAGGAGGAAGAAGAAGAAGACGAAGAAGAAGAATCCACTATATTCTTCAGCTCATTCTGTGGTGAGAACTTCGAGCACCCGTCACCACCTTGCAAACTAGACAGCCCGCGTTCCAGTCGGCGCGCGGAAATTCTCGGCTCCTTTGAGGGGGTCGTGAAAAGTCCCTCCTGAAATTTCACCTCACATTCTCGCCGGCTTTTCTCTCTCTCTCTCTCTCACGTCACCCTTTCCACCAAAAGTCTTACCTTGTGCAGTTGTGAGGAGGTTTGGGTTGTTTCCTCAACTCTTGTTATTTGTTGTTTTCCTCTTTGGGGGGCTACTAAGAATCCGGGGGTGGAGGGAGGGAAGAGACGTCTCCTCTCAGGCGAGGGTGTGGTGGTGGTGGTGGGGGGTGGTGGGGAGGGCAGAAGGCAAGGTGGGCGCCGCTGGAGATGGAAAAGGCGCGTCCTGGACGGCTCGGAAAGGCTGCAGCCAGAGCGAGCGCGAGAAGGAGAGCGGGCGCGGAGGAAGGTTTGGCGCGCCTCTCCCTCGCAGGGGTGAGTGGCGTGCGAGGCGAGATGCGTAGAGCGGAGCTTTCTGCCTGAGACTGTCAGAGCAGCCCAGGAATTTCACGCACTCCAGAGCCGAGCCCTCCCCTTCTCCGGTGCGCAGACCCCAGCATTTAAAGAGACAGCCCCGGCAACGGGCAAGGCTGGGGCTCCTCCACACACCCTCCTCGTCCTTTGCCCGCGCTGTTTTGCAAACAGCTGAGGGGAGATGTAATCTGGGGACATCCTCGAGCCCAGGATGACTAAGAGGCAGGTGCTCGTGAGCCCCGCTTTCTCACGCTTGCAAAACTCAAACTGGGCAAGAGAGATAACACACACGGCTCCTTCTCTGGGGAAAGCGCCATACAATTTGTTGGGGATTAAGCCAATCGGATGCTCCAGAATTAAGCAGGAGGCTATTGAACGGATTCTAATAATACCGAAGGGTAATGCAAACAGAATGAGATCCTTTCTTACTTTAAAATAAAATTCTTTAGGATTATTTTTTTAAAGAAAATTTTTCTCTGTTTTATTCCTCTTATTCTAGTACTCTCTTTGATTCCCTCTGTGATTCTTTCGGATCTACTCTTGTTTTCCCTTTTTTTTTTTTTTACTTCTGCTCTGCTGCTTTGTTAAATAAAGAGAGAAATCTTTTCGTGTACGATTCCTTTCTGCCAGTCTTTTCCACAATCGGATCCACAACCGTCACCAATTTCTGGATTCACAGAAAGACAAGGTGGCGAAGGGAGAAACGGAGCGCGGGGTGATTTGGGAGCCCTGAGATACTACAGAACAGGCTTGTTAAGAGCTGCGAAAGAACAAACACTTGAAGCTCACCGGCCGAAGATCACATCGGTATTTCCCTTGGACCTGTCTGAGGCTGTGGAAAGCTTGGCTTGTCAGGATTGTCGGATTTGATATTGCCGTGTTTTTTTTTAAAGATTTAAAAAATGGGGTTAAAGACATGCGTTGCTCCAGATCTTCCTTTTTCCTATGTGTTTATGTGCTTATTTAATGTAAACATTATCATTTGACCATCTGTTATAGACCATGATGACAAAGAAGAATCTACTGTTTCACTTGTACAATGCTCTACTTTCACTCTTCAGAGGAACAGAGATCGGAGTGAGCATTTTCACTTTCTGTTCCAATTCAGAAATCCTAACCCAGCAACCAGCCATATGTATGGTGTTTCTAAACATACTTCCCCTTCATCATCATTACCTAGCAATAATCATAATCTAATGCACTAATGAATGTATACAGATTTTTTAAAAAAATACTACTGTACTTCAAATACATGATTTCACTATATTTTATGTATAACATTGTTTTGGCTGGGAAACTTGCCAGAGAATGAGCGCCATTGAATTTAATGGGGATTTTCTAAAATTGGAATTATATTGTCAATATCTAACTTCTCCACTTGCAAGGATGTCCAAATCAAGTAACGACCAAAATATGTAAAGCACATAAAGTCAACCAAATACAAATAATCTTTTTAAAAAAATAAAAATTAAACAAGCAGAGAAGACTGCAAACAGAACAGAGTTCAGTACAGCCTGGCTGCCCCATCCCAAAAGCCTTCTCAAATGAAAGGATTTAGATAACACTGGGACAACAGGAGTGAAAGTATAGGGCAGAGTTTGGAAATGCTCCTTGTCTTTTGGTGGGTTTTTGGTTTTTTGTTTGTTTGTTTTGTTTGGACTATAACTTCCAGAATCCCACAGACAGTACAGCGAAAGAACTTCCCCAAGACAAACAGAATGGCCCAAAATACTCTTTTGGACTTACCTGTATCTCTACACCTTCTGGACACCAAGGGAGGTTAATAGGGTAAAATTCCAGCCAGTCAGATTGGCTAAGGCCTGCTTGAGCTGATACCCAGCCAGCAAAGGCTGTGCAAAATCCCAACTCTTCCAGGAACTTTGCTGGACTCGGGGTCAACCTTGTGTTGGCATAATGGCTCTGAGCCTGGGCTGAACTGGGGGTTGATCTGGTGTTAAATCAGTTCCTCGGGTGCTTCTCTCCTTGTCCACCTCCATTTCCCCCCTCTGTTTCTCTTCTGCCAACTGATTTCAGCCAGCACAACAGTAGTGCTGGCAGATCTAAAATCAGCCAACATTGGGGCAGTGGTGCCAGTCAAAGGGCAGATGTGTTGGCCCAGGAGGTTTCTGCCCATTCCAAACCCACTACAGGTGTTGTGTCTTTGAGTTTATATTGCACTGCCTCAGAATAATAGATGTAAGGCAGTGGGTAGGTTTCTAGTGCAGACCTTAAGGACCTAAGATTGGCATTTATAATATTTTGAATGCAGACTGTGTTCCAATGTGTGTGTGTTGATGGCATAGAGGACACCTTTTAAAGAAAAACAAGCTCATATTCAGAGCTACAATGCTCCAAATCCCTTTTGTAGTCCAAAAACATAACTCCTCAAATTCCTTTTTAGTTGCAGTCCTCTGGATTGCAACTAATGATTCTTACCCCGAAATGCATGCAGCTGTATTTTTGCCTTTCTCCCCTCTCTCTGTTTTTGCATCAGAACAAATTCTTAATATGTACACAGCACTGATGTACAGAACTGGATATCAACCAACTCCTGGCAGATTAAAAGGCTGAAGGTTTTTGTTTGCTTGCTTTGTTTGTTTCTCATGATAGAAAAGTTAGAATCTTCTGGGCAAATCACTGTACTGGATATCAGTATTTTCTTGGAAACACTGACAGGGAGACACATGATTATATCATCTGCCTTCAAACAGTTCCTACAGTATTTAGGTCTTAAAGGAAACAGAAAGAAAGTGAAACAGAAAGAGAACACAGTGGAGAATCCTATTTGTTCCCACCAAGGGCGTCTCAACACCACATGCTTCTGGGCGTAAAGGAAAGCAATCCATCACTACATCCAGAAACAGAGTTTAGAAATGTTAACTTTTCTGGACTACATGTACCAGAATCCCCCAGCCAGGAGCTGGGAAGCTGGACACTATAGTTCCAGAAAGTAACATTTTGGAGCTCTGATCCAAATACATCTGATACAGTGTCCAAAAAAACAAAACAAACAACCACTATCCTCAGAGCAGTCTAAGCAGAACGGTATGGCAGGCACTCAACAGGCACAGACCAAGACCTGCACAACATACGTTGGCTTGTATATAACCCACAAGCAGGGCTGGATCCAGACATAAGAATGTAAGATAGGTCTTGCTGGATCATATTGAAGCCATATAGAGATCACCCAGTTCTCTTATTAGAAGCCTGCCAACAAGGCCTGAGTACAAAGGTACCTTCTCTCTCACGTTTCCAAGTAAATGATGTACGGAGGCAGACAGCTTCTGATACTGGAGGTAATATAGAACTAGCTTGACTGGTAGAGACTGATGGAATTAGCATCCATGAATTTTTCCAACCACTTCAGTAGGGATGTGAAAATGTCTTTGTCTAAGTTTGGTTGCATTTCTCCCAATCCCACTAGCATTTTCCTCCCATTCTTGTTTCATATCAAAAGCAGAGCTTTTGTTTTTCCCTCCCACACTTATATGTGTTTGCAGTTTTTAAATGCATTTTCTTGTTGTACAAACTACAAATGTTCATTGATCAATCATAAAAACACAAAGAGAGGGGGGGAACCAGCAATCACATAACCAATTGCTTCATAGACTATATCATTTTGAGTATCTTGGGCCATAATATTAAAATGTTTGCAACATTTACATAAAAGGTACGTAGCTATTCCCATTTAAACATATTTTCAAAAGGGACTAGATCTACCAGGAAATTATACTAAGATTGGGTGCAATATTCTATATTCTTATAGAAATTGCAATATAGTACAGAAGTGTACGTGCTACAGACTCAACAACTCCGGCACCATATGGATTTAATAGTTGGTCTTAGCTTGTACCTTGAAAGCATCCTTCCATCAGCACCGAAGGCATAGAAGAAGGCTGTTCTGCACTTAAAGTTTGAAAGTATATTTAAATAGGGGGTACATTTGTTACTAAACAAGCCATTTAATCTCAATGTTATGGGAGAAGAAAATATTTTGCATTGAGCTGGCAATTCAATGTACAAGATCCTCTGCTTTATCACAGTTTTGGATTGCATGCTGTTAAACCTGCATTGCTCTACTAAACTAAAGCTAAGTAATTGTGACTCCTGCCTGGCCCCACCATGGCTGGGACTGATTCTTCCCCCAGTATGTGACTCCACAGATGATGTGACTGATGCAAACAACAAAGCAGACACTGAAACATGGAAAATGGGGTTGAGGGCTTTCAACAACTATTCCATTTCCTGGCACTGGGGTACCTTCCTTAGTCACAGTTCCCAACGCTCCAGTCCCCAAGGGCTGGATGATTCCTCTCACCAACCCTTGTTGTACTTCCTGTCAAGTAATGTTCAACCTCAAGTCCTCTTGCCCCTGTTCACACCTTGCAGGGACAGCCAGTATGTCCACAGCAGAGACAAACCGGAAAATAGCCTGGAGCAAGTGGAGCCAATGAATTCTGGTCCAAACTAGATGTCCCTTGATCTTCTCTCCTTTCTTCACCCTGGTTTCTCTTCTTGCTCTAACTTTTACTACCACTGGTGTCAGCCTCTCTCTCTGTCATTCTCTCACGCTCCTCTTAATAGGATAGTTTATGTGGAACCTTAGGATTTTCCCATTTCTTTCCTTCTCCCTTTGGAACCCTAAGCTGCACCAGAACTCCCCTCCAGAGATTCTCTTTGTAAATATAATTTCACTCCTCTGGGGTTCTGGTTCTTCCTTGGGGGAGCTGTTAGAAAAGTAGGCTCTAAACCACTCCTCTCTGGTGTTGTTGTTGCTGTCATCCTTATCCTCCTGTTCTTCTTCTCTTCCTTGCTCCTCCATTATACCTGTCTATGCCATTACTCTTAGATCTCCAGCACCAGCGGTCAGTTCCTTTATCTCTACTGGCTGCTTCTCCCTTTTAGGTCTGGGCTTGCTATTCATTCTGTTTTATCTTTTCCCAGGTTTCTCTCTGGTTCCCCTCTTTCTCCCTTGGTAGTAAAATCCCCCATTATCTACTGTCCACCAAGGGTACAAAAGCTTCTCCCTTTTCCTTCTATTGGCTATCTCCATTTCCTTGGTCAACCTCATCATCTGAGTGTCATCTGTTTGTGTTCTGCTGTCTTTACATTTGCCCATGGTT